TTCCAAACGCTCAAGTTCCCTTTCGACTTTTTCAATATATGCAAATGGAATAGACCTTGGTTTACAAAAAAACTGGCATTACTCCTTCTTTTATTTTTAAGGTAATTTTTTCTTGTTTATACTTTCCTAATTTATTTTTAAACAATTCCTCAAATTCTTTTAACAATTTTTTTACACCAAAATCTAAATTATTTACTGTAATATTTGATACATCCACCAACTGTATACCAAATAAACTCATTAAATCTCTTCCCAATAGAGCTCTACATCCATTTTCTACTATTAGTAAATTACATTGTTCCTTCTTATTCTTATATTCCATATCAACCATAACTTCTCCGACTGGATTTATTATTTCTCAATTGTATGTTTTTAATTTAATTAAACTAGGAATGACTTTTAATTTAGACCAATATTTTTTATATAATTTAAAAGGAATTATAGATCTTCCTGCCCCAGAGTCTAATTCCATATCAATGTATATTTCTTCAATTTTAATTTTCACAAAATATGGCTCTACACTTTTTTGATAACCTACTTTTAATTGAAACATTTCTACTGATTCTGACTCAGTTTCTACTTCTACATAATGGTTTTTTGATTTGTTTTTACACATTTTAGCTAAATGTCCTATTTTATTACAAATTTTACATTTATAAGTTTTATACTTACAATTACTAAACGTATGGTTACTTAATCCGCATGTAAAACATTTTCCTTGACCTGCTGCTTTACTGTTGTCTGAAAAGTCTGTTGGTTTTTTCTTATTTTTTATTTGCCCATATTCTGATGCTCTAACTTTTTTCTTGACATCCTTTGATATGTTCCATTTTTTTACTTTGTGTACTTCCACTGGAACATTTGATTGCATGGTTACTTCTTTCTGCATTGCTAATTCTACTATTTTATTTAGCTCTTTAGATATTTCTTCTTCGCATAACCGGTCTTTAATTTGTCCATTTCTCATACCAGTTATAAACTTGTCTCTAAGAACATCAATTAATCCTTTTCCAAATTTACATGTTGTTGCCGAATTTTTTATTCTTGCATACCAATCCTTTACGTTTTCATTAGAATTTTGTCTTAAATTATAAAATTCTTCCCGCTGTCTAAAGACTGACACTTTAGGAGAGAACTGCCTATTTAATATAGTACATAGTTCCTTATACGGTCTTTCGGATAGCATTAAAGGGTCACACAAATCTTTCAGTGTCTTGTATGTTTTTTCCCCAATACATGTAATTAACAACGGTACCTTGCGTTCCTCCGGTATTGTATTAACTAAGAAAAATTGTTCCATTCTTTCTTGATAAATTGACCAGTCTCCATCCATTTGGAACTCCGCCAATGATCCAATAACACCCGTCATCTTTTAGTTGTGTTCTCCTTGAACTACCTTGTTTTGCTGCACGTGGTACGTCACCTTGACTACCGTCTGCCTTCAGACTCTCGCTTATAGCCTTTAATTTGATTGATGATTTGTTTATTTTTTAACGCTGTATATTTATCTTCGTCGCCATTTGGAATGTCGTGAGGTAATTACAAAACTTAATTATTCATTTTCTGGTTAAGCATGTGTTCCTTTTATTTTACATCTTAACAACTGTTATGCCCACACATAATAAACTAACAAATTAATAGTAAGCTTAACACAAATACAAATACAGTGTTGCCAACATCATAACAATACTTAAATAAGTTTTATTACATTGTAAGAAATAACAAATACTTTCATTTAGAACAATTTATTACTTTCAAATAACTTCGATACACATAGGTACATAATAATTCAGTAAGTACGGAACAACGTGCGTCCCACGTACGTACAAGACAACAACAACGAACATTAATCATAACCTCTAACATGAGTGGAAAAGTAATAATAATAATAATAATGATAAAAGTAATAGTAATAATAATAGTGATAATAGTAATACTGATAATAGTGTTAATGTCACAGCTCGGCCATCCTGACCTATCCCAGTCTCTGGGATCATCACACAATATCTTTAATTTAACATCATAATTTCTAATAACATCTGAACAATATTATAACAATACATAATAGGATATTACATTCATAATAGTATACATAAAATAATAATTAACCACAAACAAGTAAATAGTAAGTAAACAGTACATTTTAATATAAACATCAATAAATAACAACATAACCATAATACATGAAATATAATAAAGGATCATTTTTCCAAGCTCCTAACCCAATGTCTCATGTTATCTGAGCTAATGACTCCTTCATAAGGCACCTGAGTGTGCTGAAAACCTTCAACATCTTTGACTATAAATCGATCGTTTAGTAACACTTTGTCTATTATATATGGGCCCTTAAATTTAGGTATTAATTTTTTATTCACCCCCACACTAACATCTGTATTTTTAATTACAACAAAATCTCCTTTTTTATATAAGGTAGGTTTCTTATGTTTCTCATCATAATATTTTTTATTATATGGTTGATTTTTTACTATCTTGTCCTTAGCCTCTTTTCTTATTTCCTCCAAGTTCCTGTCCTTCTCCACTTCCACCAATAACCTCCTAAACTCACCTTCCACCGTACCATGTTGATATACACCAAATAATAACTTAGATGGGGCTTCACCCGTCGAAGCACATAACATATTGTTCAATGCGTACTCGACCTCATGCAATACCCTGTCCCACCTATTTAAGTCTACTGTCTTTTTTGCCAGCATTGCTGTTATGCAACGGTTTACTCTCTCAACCTGACCATTTGCCCGGGGTGTCGCCGTTGCCACTAATACCAAATCTACTTTTTTCTGGGCTAAGAATTCTCCAAATGCATTAGACGTGAACGTTGAACCTCTGTCAGATATTACCCTTCTAGGTATACTATAACACCTGAAGTAATCATTCATATGCCTAATTACCTCTACCGTGTTAGTTGTTTTACAAGGATATAACCTAACAAATTTGGTAAATGCATCAATGATTACAAACAAATATTTATTTTTTTTACCAGTCTTCTCCAGTGGACCGTAGTGGTCGATATGGATTGTATCGAACGGTATTGGAGCCTTAGGTATAGGGTGCAACTCACCTTCCTTTTTACCATATACTGGCGAATATGAGATACATTTTAAGCAATTTGAAATAAAACTTTTGACTTTTTCTCTCAAATTGGGAAACCAAAATGTTCTCAACACTACTTCACTGGTTTTTTCTACACCCAAATGCCCATATTCCTCATGCACCGACCTTATCACATTATCCTCCATGCTAGTAGGGACGTAAAACAACAACTCACTTTTATACTTCCTATATACTAAACCATTTCTCATTTCGAAGTACTTATCCTCACATTTCTTCAACCGCTCTTTTAACTTGTTAATATCTTTATCTTCAATCTGCTTAATCGACAACGTTTGCTCAAAAGTATTTTCATACAACATTAATATATTGGTATTCCGACTTAATGCGTCAACGTGTTTCATTTTACTTCCTGCACGATGTTCAATACTGAAATCATAATTCTGAAATAATAACGCCCATCTTGCAATCCGAGGGTTCATATCTTTCTTGTTCATAGTCAACTTGAAACTTTCACAATCAGTGAACACTTTGAACTTAATACCATTGAGATAAACATGAAAACGCTTCACTGCATACACTAATGCCAAACACTCCAATTCATAACTATGATATTTAGTTTCTACCTCAGTGGTTCTCTTACTATAGTAAAACACAGGATGCATTAAACCGTCTTTCTGTTTCTGTAATAGGATCACTCCATAACCCAATGCACTAGCATCACAATGCACCTCGGTTTCAGCTGACGGAGAATATAATGCCAAAATCGGCATTTGCACCAACTTATTCTTTAACAACTCAAAGGCCTGTGACTCCTTCTCCCCAAACTTAAATTGAGCCCCCTTCCTTAACAGCGCATACAGTGGTGCTGCCAAAATGGAAAAGTTTTCAATAAATCTCCTAAAATAACTGACTAGTCCTACAAAGCTGTGTACATTGGCTATTGATTTAGGTATTGGGAATTGTGTCACTGCTGCTACATTAGACGGGTCAGGTCTCACCCCATCCTTATCCACCACATAACCCAAATATGTTATCCTCGACTGTAGAAAAAAACATTTATCTTCCCTCAATTCAAGTAAGTTATTATTACATGCTATTAATATCGATTCTATTATTTCCAAATTTTCTGCTATAGTTTCTGTGGCTATCAACAAATCATCTAAATAAACTAATAACTTTCCAGACCTTATTAATTCCCTAAATACTGTTTCAATATATCTCATGAATGCTGAGGGACTATTGCAATACCCAAAAGGCAATCGGACATACTCATATTGCCCCAGAAATGTTGAAAAAGAGAGATATCTGGACGACTGTTCCGATACTTTCACATGGAAATAGGCATTCTTTAGATCTAACTTTGTGAAGAAGATCTTCCCTCTTAAATTATCTAATAGATCATCTATATGTGGAATCGGGTAATGTTCTTTCACAACTCTTTTATTTAATTCTCTCAAATCCGCACACATTCGATATGTATTATCTTTCTTTTTGACTAATACTATGGGTGAACAGAATTCAGATTTACTTTCCTTTATAATACCTTTATCTAATAACTCACAAATTATATCTTTCACTGCGTTCCTCTCTACATATGATAATCGTCGAGGTTGGTAATTAAAAGGAGTGTGGTCTTTCAAACTTATATTAACTTCGTAGTTTATCTCAGGAGACTCTGGCTTTAACCCTTTTGAGTAACAGTTATCATATATTTTTTTTAACTTACATCTATCACTAAATGATACCTCACCTATGTTCAACTCCACCTCATCTTCCAACTCATACTCTATTAACCCTAAGTCAACCAAAAAGTCATTACCATTACACTGTTCTTGCTTCGAATTTACCATAATCCTACCATCTTCACCAAACCAAATATTCATCCCCTTAATAAAATCTCTACCCAATAAACATTCGGATAACATAGTCTAATCATCTACCACATAAAATATTTGTTTCTTATTTAAATCATAATCAACTAATAAAACCGTAGCATCAGTAACCGCTTCAATACTCAATTGAGACCCGTTGATACCCGAAATAAAAATATCATTATTAAATGGTTTTCGTTCACTAGTCCGGATAAGATGAGACTTAATCAAAGAAATTGGGCTACCACTATCTACCAATGCATTAACAGTAACAGTCTCCTTACATAATATTATACTTACCCTTACATTATATGCTGGCTCTAACAGTCTGATCTCTCCTGCTGATCCACTATGTTGCCGCTCGTTCTGTCGCCGAGATTCTTCATTTGTGTCATTCCTATTTTTCTGATCACGTTCCGGACACGCTGATCCCTGATGTGCTGTTGAACCGCAACCGTAGCATGCTCCTTTTGGTCTTACTGGACTGGGACAACTTGGCGCGATGTGCGTCCTGGATCCACAGTTGTAACATATCCGGCTTGTTGCTGACTCAACACCCTTCTGACTCCTACTCGAACTTTCCGCTTTGGGCTTAGGACTTTCTCCTCTGGGCCACTGCTTCTCATTTGAATTGGACAAAACTATTTTATTTTGAAATCGAACATTTCTGTGCTCCACTAACCGCATGTAGTCCATAATGTCAAATAGTAACTCATTTTCGTCATTATGAGTACGGCTTAACAAATATTGAAATAATTCTTTCGATTGGATACCGTCTAATAACTGTTCCTTGGTATCAAACAAATCTAATTCCAAATCTCGACAAAGTCGAACCTTTTCGTGGAAGTAGTCTAGAATACTTTCGTTTTTACCTTGTACCCGCGCTGCCAATGCCTTCCATCGACTGCCCGTGTTAACCTTTCTGAAGAACGTTGCTTTAAACTGCTGTTCAAATTCTGCCCATGAATTGAATCTTCGCCCAATATACCATTGGCGAGCTGGACCATCCACGTTTACTCTCGTCGCCTCCAACTTGAGTGCATCCGACCAACGATGTAATGACGCCACTCCACAGAGCGTGCTCAACCAATCCGCCGCTTCATGGGGCTTACACTTACCATCAAACGTTGGTAGTACTTTCGACAAGTCCGGTGGAGCGTATACCTCCTCTGGCGGTTTCTCCTTTATCGCTAACATTCTCATTAGTAACTCATTCTGTTTGAGTAATGTCTGCATCAAAATCGCGTTCCCGTCTTCCTTTACATGGCTCTGAGTGCTCTGAGTGCTCTGAGCACTCTGGCCGAAGATCACATGATTCACTTCCTCCGCAGAGTACTGCGTCTTGCCGTTGACATTTTTATCCGCATTCATCTGACCATCCATAATTAACATTCGTTCTTTATCCCACTTCTGATGTAAGAAATAACAAATACTTTCATTTAGAACAATTTATTACTTTCAAATAACTTCGATACATATAGGTACATAATAATTCAGTAAGTACGGAACAACGTGCGTCCCACGTACGTACAAGACAACAACAACGAACATTAATCATAACCTCTAACATGAGTGGAAAAGTAATAATAATAATAATAATGATAAAAGTAATAGTAATAATAATAGTGATAATAGTAATACTGATAATAGTGTTAATGTCACAACATTTATAGTAGTTATAAGATATATAAGTATATAGGTAAGAAAAATATTTTTTAGGGTTAGGTTAGGATATTTAAAGCACGGCTACATTATACTAATATACACATACACACTGTAGTTAACTACATTATTACATAAATACGTTTGTTCCTTTACTTTTGATTTGCTCATTGTTTATTGTTTTTATTATATATTGTATATAACTATCCTCAACCATCCTAACTATTTAATGTGTAACTGTTAATTATATATTACTACTTATGAACGGTGTGTGTATATATATATTAGAGTTAAAGTTTAAACGTAAATTTTAAATGTTAAACTTATGTATTAAGCTATTCAAGTATGATCGCCTTAAACTAATATTTTGTTTTACTTTAACGTACAGACTGTGTTCTGTGAGTTAACTATAGCATTACATGTATTACAATTTTACTGCTTCAGTACCATTAATTTAATACTCAACATTAAAGACATGTACTTTACTTTTTGTTTTAATTATTACTTTAATACACTGGCTAACTCTTAGTTACAACTTACTTTATTACTATCATTATTGTTCATGATTATGTTTACTTCTTAAGTTCAACATTGGAAGCATTTGTCAATGAATGTTATGTCAGTTACATACATACCAATATACATACTATAACTATCCAATTCATAATAACTAATATTGTTTTTTTACTATCACGTACACATTGCATTCTATTACCTTGATTTACACGTGCTCAAACCTAAACTAACTAAACAGTTAGGCATTTGTTCATTTGATTATTATTTTTGTTGAGGATCATGACGTATACCTAATACCTCAACAGAACACTTTTATTTTTACTTAACTATTTAATGTGTAACTGTTAATTACTACTTATGGACTGTGATTATGTACCTATTTATTTTAACCTACTATTCATTGATTATGACTCGACATAGAGTCAGACTTTAAACGTTAAACTTACATGTTATGATTTTTAATGATTGCCTTAAACTAATATTTTGTTTTACTTTCACTTACAAACAAATGTTTGATATATGTGTAACACCTTTATTTCACTTATATTAGTTTTCCCTTTTGTCATTTGACTTAACTGTTTAATTATATAACTGTTGATCACTGCTTCAGAACCATTCTTTTGCTATGACTAAACATATTTTAAACTGCGCTCCTATTGTTTTAACTAATATCTGTTTGACAAATATGCTTACAATATAGTTTATTAAACAATTGACATTAAATATACAACTGTACTTTTTGATTTAATTATTACTTTATTACTAAAGTTATTATTACTATTACTTTATGATTAAATTATTACTTTAAAGTTGTATACTTAAATAAGTTTTATTACATTTAGCAATAAAAACATAAGAATATATATAACATAATATATCAAAATGTAAAACATAAATAATATAAAATAAAAAGATATAAAAATTTTAGAACTATGAAATAACGCTAAAACATTTTTACTCTGCCATTAATACTATTAATTAATTGATAAATAAATATGTGATTTAAAATTGAATTTCACTAACCTATTAATTTATAGGTAGTCGGACGGCAACTGGTGCCGGGCGTGGCTGAAGAGCCTGAAGGTGGAGCTAACCTTGTGGACGAAAACGCCATGATGGACGACCACATTGAAGTTGTGATGGAAGACGGCGTTATGGACGAAGACAATGTGGAAGAACATGAAGACGTGGAGAACATGGAAGTCGTGATGGAAGACGAAGACAATGTGGACTACATCATTGAAGTTGTTATGGACGAAGACAATGGGAAAATTGTTGACGTGGACAACATGGAAGTCCAGATGGACGACGAAGTTTTGCCGGCAGACGTCGAGATAGTCGATGTCCTGCCCGGTGAACTCGAGTTCATGGACATTTTCGATGACTTCAACCCTGAAGTTGCTGTTGAACTACCAAGAGTTCATGCGCCACGAGTAGACAGGCCAGCCAGCGTTCGACACCCAATTCCGGATCGGCACGACATCGGGCCGTTGAATGAAGTCTGCAGGCACTGTGAGGCCCGTCACTTTAACTGTGAACGCACTTTGAGGGGTCATTTCACATTGTGTTGCAACAACAATCAGATGGTGATTCCTGAAGGACCCCGTCGGTTGCAACAAGCACCTGAATTGCTACAGAGTTTGTTGGTAGACGACTCACGGATAGCAACCCAGTTCCGTAGAAACATAAGACGGTACAACAACACTCTTGCGTTTGCCGCCTTCTCCAGTGACCTCAATCAGAGAAGATTGCCTGGTCGCGGACCGAGAGTGTTCACTGTACACGGGCAGGTGTATCGAAGGATCACCAACGACGTCGTCAGAAACGACGACAGACCCCCAAGTTACTGTGAGCTCTATTTCATTGAATCTGGGGAAGCAAACCGGGTTCGCATGAACCAGAACCACCAGGGTGAGCTAAACGAGACTGTGCTTACAGACTTGGACACGATGCTGAGGCAAACCAATCCATTTGCCATGGCATTCAGCAACATGAGAGCAGTGTGGCTGGAGGAACAGAGAATTGCCAACGCCGATCCTCTGGTGCAACCCAGGAGAGTCACCATGCACTTGGTGGCTGACCCAAACAGTGACCCAAGGTGGTACAATCTACCGCCAACTCAAGTCAACGAAGTTTCGGTCGTGTTTGCTGGAAACAATGGCCAACCGCCGAGAAACCTCGACCTGGTGGTGTTCGACTCGAATCCAGTGAACCCACAACACAGGATGCAAAACTTATCGTACGGCTCCCAGCACGCAGATCCAATGCTATACCCTCTGTTGTTCCCACACGGTGAACTGGGTTGGCATTTCAAACTGCGACAAGATGATGGTGGCCGGCAAAATGCTGTGCGCACACGCAACACTATCAGAGAATTTGTGTGTTACCGTCTGGCCATTCGTTACGAAGGAACTAACGACCACAGGCATAAAAAATTCAGTCTGGTACACCGTGCTGGTTATCTGTTTCAACAGTACGTCTGTGAACAATACGTACGAATGGAAACAAACAACCTATGGTTCATTGAACGCAATCAGGGAGCCCTGTTTGCCGAAGCGTATCAGGGCCTGGTGGATCACATCAACCAGCAGTTGCACATTGAAGAACCTGCCCCGGTTGGACGCAGAATGATTTTGCCGTCGACCTTCACTGGAGGTCCGCGTTACATGAAACAGAGCTACCAGGATGCAATGACCATAGTACGCAAGTACGGCAAACCCGACCTGTTCATTACCTTCACTTTCAATCCTGGGGCCTGAGATCGTCAGCAACAAAGGAAATCATGCAGTTGCAGGTGACAGACCCGAACTGGAGGCAAGAGTGTTTCACGCCAAACTCAAACAGCTCATGTCAGACATAACTGAGAACAGAGTGTTTGGTAACGTAGACGCATATGTTTACACTGTTGAGTTTCAAAAACGCGGTCTGTCACACGCACACATACTCATCATCCTTAGCGATGGCAACAAGCTGCTCACAGCCGAGGATGTAGACGATGTCGTGTGCGCTGAACTGCCAGACCCAGCAGACGAGAACAATCAGAGACTGTTCACAGCTGTGACGAGTCACATGATACACGGACCATGTGGGCAACTGAACCGCGACAGTCCGTGTATGGCTGAAGGGATATGTCTAAAGAAATATCCAAAGGCATATAGTGCAGAGACAGTTTACGTTTCTGACTGCGGGTACCCAACGTACCGTCGACGAGACAACGGGATCGAGGCCCTCGTGAGGGGTCACCAGGTCAGCAACGAGTTTGTAGTTGCCTACAACCCGTACCTGCTGGCCAAGTACGATGCACACATCAACGTAGAGGTGTGTTCTACTGTGAAGAGCGTAAAGTATTTATACAAATACGTCTTCAAAGGCCACGACATGGCTACAGTAGCCAAGACAGAAATGAAATTGAAAAGTAAGCATCTGTTAATTTATTTCTTCATATACTATAACTGTTTTAACTCATAAGTAATTCAACTAAATAAAAAAAAAAAGTCATTTTAAAAATGTAGCATACTTGGACGGATACGTACCTATTTAATGAAAGTCTGAAAATTAAATTGTATAATGATATGTGACTATATACTATTTGATATAACTTATATAGGTAGAGTATTATATGGAATAAACTATTTACTAAATAATAAATTAGGTAACACTTGATTTTATTATCTCCAAATATATTGTTTAACATGGGCTGGATTATATGGGATAGTCCTATAATATATACTTGAATAGACAATAGTAATATAACAAACCTACAAGTATACTCTATGTAGTACTAAATATATTACAGTTTTTAGGTGAGTTGATTGTTTGAGGTAATGTAATTTGGTAATTATAAATTTGATGTATGATACAAAACTGCTGCATATACTATATAATACAATAATTTATTATAAACTAATAGATCTTCATGTATTTAATTAAATTACATCCACAGCTATTTATCAACACATCTGAGTTAGACAAGGGCTCGATTATGTGGTTAGATAGTAAATATATAACATACTATGTAGTAGGTACTTGATATATTACAGTTTATATAAATTTAGTGTAGCAAACAAATACTGCTACAGATTCTCAATAATACAATATTAATAAACAAAATAGAACTTTATGTAGGTACCTATTTAATTAAAGTCTGAAAATTAAATTGTATAATGATATGACTATATACTATTTAATAAAACTTATATAGATAGAGTATTATATAAAATAAACTAACTAATAGATCTAATAGAACGAATCAAATTCTGGCAGTTAAATTGTATGATATAAATTTTATTTTTGTTATTTATTAAAATGGATGTATTATTATTATCACTACTCATAACATTATTGTGTATTAATCGAACGAATTTTGTTTGTTTCAGTTACATCAATGCTCGGTACGTCAGTCCGCCAGAAGCAGTTTGGCGACTGTTTTCGTACGAGTTGCATAAGCCGAGTCACAGGGTGATCAGGCTTCCAGTCCATCTGGAAGACTACCACACGGTGTACTTCGCTCCGGGACAAGAACTGGAACGTGTGCAAAACGCAGCGCTGGCCCGAACAAGACTCACAGCGTTCTTCTCGCTCAACGAGACGGACCCCGAGGCCAGACAGTATCTCTACCATGAGATACCGATGCATTACACCTGGGTGGAAAGAGACAGGAGATGGAATCGGCGCCAAATGGTAATGGCCGAGACGTTGTCTCGGATGTACGCGGTCAACCCCCTAGATCGAGAGCGATTCCTCTTGCGACTGCTGCTGCTGCACAGGAGAGGTCCTCAGTCGTTCAGAGACATGAGGACCGTCGACGGGGTCGTGTATCCGACCTACGCGGCGGCGGCGGTGGCGCTTGGACTCCTGGAGAATGACCAAGCCCTGCTGGCGTGCATGACAGAGTCCGCGGCCGTGGACACTCCCGCACAGCTGCGTTACCTACTGGTGACGATCCTGCTGTACTGTGAGGCCGCTGATCCGCTGGCGATATACATGGCAAGCGAGGAAGACCTGAGGCAAGACTTCTTCCACAGACTGAGAGACGAGGACCGCGCGAGGGCCGCGTGCCTGGACGCCATCGGGCGGCTGCTGCGGGGTCACGGTAAAACGCTGGCCGACTACGGGTTGCCGAATCCGGACGTCGCGCTGCTCGAAGAGGACGCGGGTGGAGACGTCTACGCCTTCGTCGACGCAGTGGTGCGTTGGACTCTGCAGTTGGACAACCTCAACGACGAACAGCGGGCGATTTACGACCGCGTGATGGCGGCCGTCGACGACAACCGCGACGTCCCAAAAATGTTCTACGTCGACGGGCCCGGTGGTACTGGGAAAACGACGCTTTACGGCTGCCTAATATGGTCGCTCCGCAACATGGGCAGATCCGTGTTGTCTGTGGCGTTCACGGGAATAGCGGCGACGCTCATGGACGGTGGTATGTCCATTCACTCGACGTTCGGTTTGCCCTTCGGTACACTCAACGAAGATTCGACGTCGTCCATCGCCATGCAATCTCTGCGCGCGCATAGGATACGGGAGGCGGCACTCATCGTCTGGGACGAAGCGCCCATGTCTCCGGGGCTCCAACTGACGGTGGTCGACCGGTTGCTAAAGGACATAATGCAATCGGAACTACCGTTCGGTGATAAGACGGTTCTATTCGCAGGTGACTTCAGACAGATACTGCCGGTGGTCCGCAGGGGGACCAGGGCCGCGATTGTGGCGGCTTCAATCAGGCACCACCATCTGTGGGACGTCTTCGAGCGTTTCAGCCTGACGCAGAACATGCGGGCCAACAACGACGCGGACTTTGCCGCCTGGTTGCTTCAACTCGGCAACGGCCAGCTGCCCGCGGTCGACGGAAATGTGAACACCGTCGAAATCCCCAGGAATATGGTATGTGACATAGCTAATTTGATTGATTTTGTTTACCCGTAGCAAATGTCGTTGGCTAACGTCGACGACTTTGCTCGGAAAATTATTCTCTGTCCCCGGAACGAGGATTGTAGACAGGTCAATCGCACGGTGCTGCAACGCGTCACGGGTGCTGCGAGAACCTACACCGCCATAGACACGGTGGTGGCGGACGACGTGGACGAGATTGCCAATTACCCGACCGAGTTTTTGAACTCGCTGGAGCCCGACGGACTTTCTCCGTACAGGCTGACGCTGGTGGTCGGTTCCGTGGTCATGCTGCTGCGGAACCTCGATCCGAAAATCAGACTGTGCAACGGAACAAGGTTAGTGGTTACGGAACTGAGGCGCAACAACTTCAAAGCGAGGTTGTTGGCGGACGCGGGGGAAGGGCAGGACGACATCGTCATCCCCAGGATACCGCTGTCGTCCAGCGGAGACGACGACCTGCCCTTCACCGTGCGTCGGGTTCAGTTCCCGGTGAGGCTTTCGTTTGCGATGACGATCAACAAGTCTCAGGGTCAAACTTTTGACAGAGTTGGTTTGTTTCTGCCGTCCCCGGTGTTTACGCACGGACAACTGTACGTTGCGTTCTCACGAGTGCGGGACTCGGAATCAATAAAAGTTGGTATGTACGGTGGCGACGACGGTTGATTTATCACAAGGAATATAGTGTATTCAGACGTGTTGTGATCGGCGGTTTTTGTTCAACCTTAACTTGAGCAGTGCAATTACACTTAATACTTATTAGTTATTACTTATTAGTTATTACAGTCTAAATCACTTATGCCGATAATTTTTAATTATTTGCTGTAAGTTTAGCCGTCGCTATATGCGACAACGGGTACCTGTGTGGTCCGACCTGTGTGGTCCGACCTTTGTGGTCCTGTGGAGAGAAAGTTTGACAACCTCCCCGTGGTTCTCTCTGGATGCTTATTCACTGCAAAGTGAATTCGTAACTAATGTCAAACGTTTTGAAATTAAATTAATTAACTGGTTTTCAGCATACTTATAGAATTAACATTTTCAGGCTGTTGAAAAATGGTGAACAACTGTGTTTGGTGTGGAAACATTGATGCCGCCATGGAGTTTCTATACACAAGTAAGTATGAACCATTTACGTCCCAATGAACATGACCGTTACACTCACATTCACATTTACATTTAGGTTTCGACGGAGATGGACGCAGTTAGTGCAACACCATGGGTCACAAGTCTATCAAGCTGTGTTCGAGGTTTTTTGTTTCTGGAGACTTCTCGACACAACACTGAGGTTATTATGAATATTTGCATTAGTATTTGTTCATTTCCCACACATATCAAAACCACCAAAATGTGTTTCATTTGTATTAATCACAACTTAATACTCTTATAACAATTTACTTTCATTGACCAAATGCTTTTAATGTTTATATTTTATTGTAAAACCTTATATTCATGAGTATACTTCGATATTCTTCATTATAAAGGTTAATGCATTTGATTTTCTGTGATCACTGTTAACTATTACTTGAGAACTATTATATGTTGTATGTGTTATTCTTATTCACTATTCACTATACAATTTAATATTTTTGTCATGTTCTCAGGTTAATTTATTATCAAAAATATTTCATTGACTTTTATTTTTAATGTTTAACTACCCTGTGTTCAATTCATGTTCACATAATATCTAAACAGAATACTCTTATACGTATAACGCATTCATTTTAACTTAGACTAATATGAGTTCAAAAAAATTCATAGACCTTATTAGATAAACCCAATATTGCCTTAATAGTGTTATTAACTTTTATAATGGTTTTATAAAGATATACTGACATTGTGCTTAAAGTATTTTTACCAAACAAAATGACAAATTTGATTCTGCCTCACTCTTTTAAGAACTACATTATACTATAAGCTTATTCATTAAATTCATTAACTGGTATATTGTATTTTTAGGCTGTTTTGTGTGGAAACATTGAGATACAAACCACAACATGCCAGGCCAACACAGCACTGCACTGCTACCTTCGACAGTGATATTATTTGGTTCAGTTCCCACTCTGTGTTTCATTCATGTTAACCACAACTGAAAACCCTTAGAAACATTTTTGAAATGACACCCAACAAAATGACAAATGCTTTTAATGTATAAACTAATGTATGTATTTGTTTTACTTCTTATTGTTAAACCTTATATCATCAAAAAAGACAAATTTAATTCTGTGATCACTGTAAATATTGTCGCTGTATTTAACTTAAAAGATTAATTATGTTATTGTATAACCTTATATTCGTACTTTAATGTCTATGGACGACTGTCGAAGTACTATATAATAGAAATTGCTATATTTTGTAACATGCCGTATCATTACCTATTCGTTCAATCGCAATTGTAATTACCTTATAACTATGTAACATTGTGTTCAAACTGTAAAATACCTACAACACAATGAATTTTTTATTTTTTACTGTCCATACCGTGTGTAGGTAAATACACTTTTGTTGTATGTGCTTATGATATGATGGTTGGTTAACTGTGACTGTAGTATTTCAATTATTATACATATTATTACGTTTGATTATACTTATTGTGTATTACTTTTATTATTATATATTACTGTCTATAGATGATAATACACATATATTTAATATTATATAGTTGTTAGGTCTTTATCTCTGAGTATGATCAATTATTGGTTTAAATCCATAACTAAAATATTACAGTGTCGGCACGCCGTTTGTCGATCAACGATTGATATAGACTATTCCAACTAACACTATAGATAACAGTCATACCTTAATTGTTCATCTATGTAGCACGTAGCTAATAGCTATTATTTATTAATACTCTCATGTATAGTAACATTTATCACACTACTATTATTTTTATTAATATGTTGCTGCTAATATTAAAAAATTTGGAAAGTCATTACACTAATTGGCACTGAAAAACAGATTTATTGTTTAATTATTGCAATTAGTCTAATGACCATTGAAAAGCTATTTGAACAGCACCTACATATTATAATCATTGATTATAAATACTTATATTATTTATATATATATATATATATATATAAACGTATTTATAATCAATGATATAATATACTAATTGTCACAGATAACACTTAACTACTTTATATTCTCAACAACAATATTATTAATTATTTTATATTATCAATTAGTTTTTAGTGTGTACATTATTTTATGTAACAATACGATTATTTATCAGTCAGTATTAACAACAATGTACGCTATACAAATATTTTCAATTGATTACAACACTTGCCCGACAATGTCATTACAATGTGGGATTTTATAAAACTACTAAATTTAAACACCAGTGGACTACAGTTATAATGATTAATTATCTTTTAGCACGTTTTGTGAAGTAAACTCTATTCTGATGAATAAAATCAAGATAACGTTTTCAACACTTACATTTCAAACCAGCAACACACATCACTTACCTATTTTATTATTACTAATAATATATTACTGTTGTTAACCAACTACTAAAATATTTAATGACACACCTCACACACAATTTTCAATTGACAAACGTTACAGTTACAGTTCATAAAACAATTGGGAACAAGGAAATAATAAATAACAATAAAAGTTACATGAAATGGTGCTTTATTCATTCTGAAAAATATTTAAAAAAAATACAATTGTTAAATAAATTATGAAGCAGACAAAATCGTCTAATTGAAACTTACTATCCTCCACGACCTCCCACCTCCCACTTTCTGCCGACCCGATCACACTGAAAATGATGTATATAATTATATTTTTTTAATATTTTAATTTATATAATATTGACTATTCTTACGTTGGAGTTGTGGCGTTGAGGAGGCGGTCGTGTACCCCCCCACCTCCTCACCAGTTGATCTCGGTGTCGAGGCTGCGGCCGGCTCCTCCACCGCCCTCGACATTTGACCGACAAAACTACTGAAAACAATACATTTTATGTTTTTGATGATAATTGACATATTTTGGTATTTGCGATCTTACCTTAACCCACGGCCCCGCCGCTGCTGCCGTTGCGGTTGCCGCTGACGTTGTTGTTGGTGCTGCTGCTGTTATGGTTCCTGCTGCGGCCCCGACGAGGACGCGCCCGGCGATGCCGCAGGCACCACGCAAGGGGAGTCTGATAAAATTTACAAAAGCTTAGCACGTGAAAAAATAAATAATAGGACAAACTTACCACAATTCCTCGCCAGGTCACCTGTTGGCACCTGCAACATCCTGAAACGTACAAATCATGTTTAGTGTTATACTTGGCTTATGCAATACGCATGTGCTTTTTTCTATTAGATACTTACGTCGGGCGTTTCCTCCCGGACGATGCACGGGGACAGCATTGTGGTATACGGGTGCATTGTACACCCGCATACCACGGCCGTTGTAACTATGAGTTTGACTGTGACGACTGTCTTTCGGCATGCTAGATTTCAAAAAAAAAAAAATTGTTTTATTCAAATACGTATGAAATTATTCGATACATAACCTAAGAAATATTATTTTAATACTATAAGCGACTCACTTCAAAGATGTTTTGAGAAATGATTGATAAAAACCAAACAACATGCAGCTGGCAATGCATTAGATGTCTCTTGACGCGGTAAAAATAGCAGCCAATCAGAAAATTAGATTTTGTCGACTTATTTGTTATAACCGCAAAAACATAACAATGATTCCATTGATTACAATGAAGCCTACACCTGATAACTGTTCTCTATAATTATCAAAAAATACAATTTTGTTACCTCCTGTATGCTTTTTCATATTTGAACGGCCGTTTCGAGCCCTTTTCGCTGTAGGCGGATTGACCGTTCGGGAATCGACTTTCACACGAGATGACTGATAGCTAGACACTCAAACTCAGAATCCGAATTTCCGATTTCAACACACATACGAGAACCGGACATACACGCCCGGGGCATTGTCTGCGATCCGACGTAGTCGGATTGCCTACCTCACTAGCTACTTGCATACGAGCGACTTACACACCCACTGCATCCGACACTCGGGAATCGTCTTTCACCCGAGATGACTGATAGCTAGACACTCAAACTCAGAACCCGAATTTCCGATCTCAACACACACACTCCAGAACCGGACATACACGACCGGGGCGTCGTCTGCGTACCTCGGATGGCCTACCTGGCTGGCTGTGTTGTACGATCGACTTGAATCGCGTGACTTACGACTAGACACTCTTCCGAGTTCAAAAATTACCGCTTAACCAGTGCTGGTAACACGACAAAACACAAAACCCGACGACCCCCCCTTCCCGCCAACGGCCCGGATCAAAAAACCCAGCATCGCCGACAAAGATGCACCACTGCCCACACAGTCTTTCCGCCGCAGGCGGGATGACAAACACCGGAATCTAGTGTGCTAATAAAATGATAATATTCATACCTAATGGCATGAATTATATCTTATTGTCGATACGGCTAAAAGGTATAATGGTCATTATAATGTACAGGTGGCGGTACTTTACCCTCGATGTATATATAACTCTCGCACGGCATACAAATCGTCACCGTATTGTCATTACCTGCAACCGTATTGTCATTACCTGCCACCGTATTGTCATAACCTACCATCACTTACAGGACAATTATTAAATGATAAAATAGACGTCTGTTCACACGCTTGGCGAAAATTATAAAATAATCAATAAATTACCAATATACCTGTTCAGTATCTCCACTTAAGGGACATTTTTTTGCCCTAACTGCTGATCTAGTGTTGGCACTGGAAACATGTTTTCCATTATCAAGCATAGTGTATGAATTTTTTTTAAAAAAAAAACCTAATTAGTCTATGCGGTGGTTATAAAAATTAAATGACTAACCTTCCTTTTCACAGTATCCAAGATCCTCGATAATATCTGCGACTTGAGCGTAATCTCCATCATCATCCATGTCGCTGTAAAATGTATTTTGAAGTACATTGATCACATTTAAACAATTTTAAATGTATTTTTCGGTGAGCAGCCAGATTGGTCTTGTATACGAATTCCAAATCACATTGATCGCATTTAAACATTTTTAAATTATCGCGGAGCGAACGTTATAACACAACAACAGTGTGGAATGTACTAACTGACCATCCCTAATATGCACGTAATAAGACGACATTCACCCGCTACCGCTCACCCCATCATGCTGACAATCCTCACCATAGGTGACGTATAAAAACAGATTTTATCCAGACCTTTTTTCACTAAGTAATATAATATAATATAATATTTAAAAACTAAACTATATGTATATAGGATATTTAAAACTAAAATACATACAGAATATTACCAAGTCTCCTCCTCAGCAGATAGTCGTTCACGAACGCGGTCTGGTCTATATTTATCTCCGAAAGTATACGTTCGATCATCATATAATTCACTAACTCTTGTATCATCAATTTCAATACCTAACTGGAATAAAACATTTTTCTGATTTTTTGTTTCAGTACCTAGTTTATTATGTAAATCTAAATATTCTAAATATTTTTAATCCGAACGATCACATGACTTGAGGAAAATTCTGAACGTTAGATTCTGCCAATAATTTCCTCCTATCTGAACGTTCTTCAATTCTAGGTCCTCGTAATGTAAACGTTTAGATTTAAAAGTTTTAGAAGCTAGATTATTAAAATATCTGGGTCCTGAAACATTATCAGAAACCAGACTATTACACGCCAAATAAAAGTTCCAGTTAACGTGACCCCAATCACATCATAATTGATAAACAAGCTGGTATATTTTCTAAAAAAATATTCAAAGTCATGGCTAGAATACCTTGCTAATAGAGGTATCAGCCATTCAGGTTTTCCCCAAAACTTTTCGGAGACAAATTCAAACCATAACGGCCGACCCTCTAAATGGTATAAAAAACAGAACATACGTATTTTATTTTTACAATCCATGCAATCTTTTTTTTTATGAGTCTGTGTACCGCATGAGAGAGAAAGCATGTATTCTAACGTGCTTCCGAAATAATCATGCAATACTTCAAAGACTGTAAAAAAAAAAAAATAAATCGCACTAATATTAATTATATATACCTATATTTACTCGAATTGACGTCCATAGTATTTTAACAGAGTAGCACAGGAATAAAAATTTGAGGTACATAGGCTTCGAAAGTATAAATACAACTAAATCGGTAATATCGGGATATTTCAATGTAACATGTAACATGTTTTTGCTAGGATTGCCCACATGAGGCATTGCTTGTCTAAGTTTTGAGGTTTTTTATTTTGTATTGGGACTGTTAGTGACATTGTATGCCCTCATACATACATCGCGGAAGTACTCAAAAACGTCCGCCAACAACAGCACATCGATTTTGAGATGCAGGTCACTATATTCGCCCAACGTATTGCAATCAAAGTGGTCCCAGACCAACTTCGCATGTTCAAAATCTTCCTCTTTAATCCCGGTGTCCGTCAACGTACTAAAAAAATCTCTATTACTCGGTAGTCTCCTGTCTTCCAGCCGCTCCCAACTATCTGTGTACTCGTATGGGTACACCCCCTTACGAGTCACAAGCGGCATATCTCCGGCGACAAAATGTTTGGCCGTCTCACGGAAGTTCTCATGTTCGGGTGCAACTAAATTTTCGCCCAGGGACGACAGACTCGACGCCATATACCTGAACGTGTCGATAAACCGAACAGTGAAGGTACTACTTATATATTTCGAGAAAGATATAAATTTCTCCTCACTGTTCGGTATAACGTTGAGCGCCTGTGTATCATACCCAAGTTCAGTGATTATGAAGTGCGAGTCGTAGTTTGAGAGATTATGAAAAAATACGGGGACAAATTTAGGTTGCTGCAACTCCAGGTTACATCTGGAGCACAAGGTCTGCCTAAATTTGCCCGTGAGATGGTCATGATCCCTAACCTTATCGCCCCCGACTAATATGCATATGCATAAGTTACACGCATTACACTCTTGATGTGTTTTTTCTTCACCCTCGGTCATAATTAAAAGAATATTCGTCTTCATCAGACCTTCAATTTTCAGGGCCACATCAACAATCGACTCCATGAAATGTCTCGCCACGTCCGTCCTGTCTTCGCTGCCTCTGTAGATTACCGGCCCCGCCGGTATCTCGTGTTGAACCAATAAATCCGCCGGCACGTCCTCGCTCGCCTTCACCAAAAAACCGTAGCTCATCGCTTCGTGTTTTTGGGTAATCGTGGTACTATCCCCTCTCGCCTCCTCCGCCTTCGCCAAGATCGTCTCGAAATCCGCGTAAATTACAAACGGGTGCCTCACCGTGTTTTTCCACGCCCTGAACTCAACACAATCACCCTCCTTCGGCATTTCCGGAAAAATTGGCTTGTGCACCCCACAAATCAATTTGTGTTGGTCCATGGCATCCGTTCCGCTCAACTTGAATTTCAAATTCCGGTTATCGAATGACGTGAAACACCTTTGTGTACGTACCAGCCGGGAAAAATTAGAAATATAAACATAGTGTGAGTTGCCGCCGTCCGTCACCAACAGCAGGTCAAAATGATTAGATTTTTCCTCGTCGACCACACGTTGCGGGTAAACCTCATACCTTGGCAATTTCGGTACTTGAAAATTCTTGTCAAGGCCGTACACGTTAATAGATACATTTTTGGTATTTTTTTCAAATGTTGATATATCAGACAGTGGAGTAGGGAACGATATATCTTCAAAATTATATTTGTTCTCATGCTGGCTATATCAAGCTCCCTCCACACGAAATGCTGTCGGCCCCGTAACATGTCTCGCTAAAATTGCCCACTTAAAACACTGTTGATCTACATTTTGTGGGTTGATGGTACCTCGCTTCCTGTCGATATATTCCGGCAGCTGAATATAGGAGGAACCGCCCAGCGGAGTATATTTGTATACCGCCAATAACAACCCGTCTATTGACTCTAGGGTGAAACCGCTGCCTCTCCCGGTATACTCATCTTTCTCCTTCGTCAATTTCATATAAGCCCTCTCTCCAATCGTTCTAATATCGCTATCCTGGAAAATTTCAACCGCTGATGTTTTGAACGCGTTCTCCGATGAATTGGAGACGTTGGGCCGGTTATATGTCGCTTCGAGTTTAAGGTTAAATTTAATCGCATTTTTCTGTACACTTGTCTTAAATAAATTAACTAGCTCAGGCATAAGTGGGCGGAGAAAGTCAGAATATATCAATGTATTCCTGATATTTTTAGCATAATACCATATGATTTTACGGCTGGCAGACGACAAAATCTCAACAAACCCGGGAGCCTTAACAAGATTTAACCTAACTTTTTTAGCGTTATCAGCTGATACGGTGTTTGCAGCGGAAACACGTTTGCCATTTACGGCTACAGTGTAAGAATCTTTAAAAAAAAAAAAAAAAACCTAATATCAATATTCAATATCTAATAAAATAAATTTAATTCTATTAAAA